CTGCATGTCTGAAAACCTCCTTTTATGGGAGGTTTAATCAAGGGATACCTGTATTCTAATGAACAAGTATACAGTGTAAATGAAATAAAGAAAATGGAGACTGGAAACTACAAGCTATGAGACCAGAGTACATGGTATTTTCAACCTCATTGCATTCCCAGTTAGAATATTTTGTTCTCATAAATATTGGTTGGTCTTTGTTGTATTTAATTAGTTGATACACCTTTAAATGCGACCTTTTAAAAAGCTTTGACCCCTTTGTTTTCCTTCCAAGACTAGCATTCGTCTGTCGACTGTCCACGCTCGAGGATGGTTGTTAACTGGGTTGAAAGTGTTAGTGCTCCTTTATTTTTATTTTTTTAAGATACTCATATTAAAAGTGCATTAAGTAATTTAACAAAGTTATCATAATGGCTAATACATTATTTTCATGAATGGGGAAGAGGAATAAAATAAAACAGATCATCACATCAAATTCGTGTATGTGGAGTATTCATAAATCAGGGTAACACTGTAGAATTTCTTTTATTAGCTTGTAGTATAAACGTTTGATTAACAGAATAATTATATTATTGTTAATTAAGCAAATGACATACATTGAATTTCAATACATTAAACATTTCTAATATACAAAAGTAAAAAAAAAATCTTAATTCTCAAAGACTTTAAATTAATGTAATGTTTTCATATTGTTAAAATTAAGAAATCAAACTATTAAATATGTTTTGAAGATCAATTTTATTAAAGTCTTTAAGGATTTAATGCTTAATATAGTTTATTGAGAGGTTTTAGATAATTAGAAATTTATATTTTTATGTATGATTATATTATTTATAAGTCGAAATGCACAGAAGAATTGTATAATATATTTCCTACTAAAATTGATGAAATCATTTTCATCAATTAAGTAATATAATCTTACATAATTATAACATGATTATTAATTTAATCATATTGTGTATGTATATATGTATGTGTGTGTGTATATATATATATGCGTGTGTGTTTTTACAGCAGAAATTACATCGTATGAAATAATGTACTGTACAATGTTTTGTATTTTTATTATATATTTATTTTTTAGGAAGTCGAAAATGGAAGACTTTTTCGTCTACTTGTAAAATTGGGAACAATAAATGAACGTTCAGAGTAAATATTAATTAAATACTTGCGATACTATAATTAAAATTATTTAGTTTATTTATCTTGTTAAATATCTTCAAATAACTTTTAGGATGTTTTAATATGATATCTTAGCAAATTTTTTAAGCAAATTTTTAATCATTAGCAAATTTTTTAAACAAAACTTAATTAGACAATTAAAATTTATTTTAATTGTCTAATTAAGTTAATTAAAAAGAAGTTTGTTTATAGTTTTCTGAATTTATTACTGAATAGTTGATACCTCATTTATTTTTAATAATAAAATCAGTAATTAATGTCAGGAACTGTAAGTTGAACATAAAAAAAATATTGCTGATAATGGGATTCATTTCAAAACCGTGCATAAACTTAGTGTATACCAGCATTGTAGTCATACCAGGGCATACCACGGTGACACCCTGGGCACTTTTTTAACAATTAAACATTTATTTCACTAAATCTTATTGTGTGAATACAATCATAAACTAATAATGTAAGTCTAATTCTACCTTATGTGCCTATCAGAGAGAGAGAGAGAGAGCGCTTACACACATTGTGTTATAAATACCTGCAGTATTGCTTCAATATCTGGCAATCTCCAGCTGAGTCTTGGAAGTTGTAGTAATAGAATTCTTAGGTACAGGTGGAAGAGTTTGTGGAGCCTGGTCCAAATTTTTGGATGTATACAACCTGTCGACAGTATGATCAGGCTCACCCGAGTGGAGCAAGAGGGATTAGCGGATAGTTGGGAAACTGAGAAGGCTAATAGTGGCGCAGAGCATTATGGTGGAGGGTCACCACCATGATTAACAAATGGACAAACTCTATCTGTAATAATTTTTTCACCTTTCCTTTTATTTGGGGTCTTGTCCCTCTCCATCCATATGCCTAAATTTGGTAAACTTTTGAAGGGAGCTGGGTGATAGTTCCAATCTCCAATTTGATATTTCCTTTGATGAGTGGGTTTTTGCTGGAAAATGTGTCATTTACAAAGGAAATGTTATCAAAAAGAAAATCTTAGGAACTTCCTCTGTTATATTTGTCATCTCGAGTGTAAATGATTTTCTGTTTAATATTTGTTCAAATAATTAAATTGCCAAGAATGCTTGCTTGGGTTCTCAACAATGGCAATTGAAATTCAGGGTGTCAGTTAGCACACTGCCACTTTTTCATTTACGACTACATCCCTGCTATATACTCTCACATTTATACGTACATTGCAATCAGTTACTATGTTTTTTTGTACTGTAATAAAATACCATGATACTGTTCTGATATTTTGAATTTCAAACAAACATTTGATATTTTTTCAGTAAAGATTCATAAAACACACAAATAGTCAACTATTCTGAAGGAATATTGCAGTCTTTATGCGAAACTGATTTTATTGTTGATTTTTATTTATTTAATTGATTATTAATTCACTCAAACCTTATTATCGGTAGCTGCTTTGTTTAGCCACCATTGTCACCACCACTCATCTCTACAACTATATGAAAAAATTTAATGAAATTAAATATATTTATGGCCACGATTTTATTACTGGAATGAAGTGATGACATATTTGAATAATTAGAAATACAGATTTCTGATAGGAGAATATTATTGTTAATTATACAGGATGTTTTTGAAAGGTCTCGCCAAACTTTAACAGCATATTTTGTGTCATAAAAATGAAAAAATTATATATAAACATAGAACTGAAAATTCTTCCTTTTCAAGTTAGAGCAGTTTGAAAAATTCTCTGTACAGGTATTGCACTTCACTTGTATTGTGAATGTCCACCATTTCAGAGTTAGAGTAATGGTTCATCATATTAAAGAACACTTAAAATATCACTTGAAAACATGGTCGTTATAACCACAGCTTGCTATTAATTTGTATTACATAAAAGTTGTTAATTGAAGCGGAGCATTAGCAGAACCTCAGGCTTATGGAATTGTGCTTGTTCTCAAAATCTGTTCAATTGATTTTGATTAAATTTTACCATTTTCCATTAATTGAGGTGAGGAATCCAAGTATGTAATAAAACATGGGGATCCATGACTTTGTTTTTGAGATATAAGGTCATAGCATGAGCATGTGCAACAAAACAATGTTACACAATCACTAGCACGACTCCTATGGATTTAAAGAATTGAGTTAATTCTCAAAATTTATCAGCTGATTTTGATAAGACTTTTGCCATTTTCCATTCGTTGAGATGAGGAATCCAAAAATGTAATGAGGGTCCATTTAAATATTAAAAAATTCATCCGTTAGTTGCTTAACTTTCCTGGCAACATTTGGTGGTGCCATCTGTTACGATATTTTATTTGAAAAACTTTTTATATTTTTAACTAATATGAAATGGCAAAAAGCTTAATTTTGAGGGTAGGGATGAGTTTTATTAAAAAAAAAAATTGTAAATGCTAAAAACGAGTAAAATTATCATTAAGTCTGACCCTACTCAAAATATGACACATGTCCTCCTTTATTTCCCCCACCCCATCGACCTTTAATCACCAAAATTTAATAGAATCAATCTTTTAGTAAACACACCTCCCTGCAAAATTCCAGAAATTTTCTACAAAAAGCACAAGAGTTATTAAGCTTCAAAGGTGAACAAAATTGTGCCACAAACATACACACACTTACGTCCATACATACAGAAAAAACCCCAAATTTTTTTGCACTTCTTAACATTTTAAGGTCCCCAAGTCTAAAAATGTAAAAACTGAGGAGTCATTTTTGACCAATTGCCATATTTTCCCTTCTGTTATAAATAACAGAGCTGGGAAAGTAAAAATATGAGTCCATAATTTTGTTTTTGATATACAGAGGTATTAAAGTGACAATGTTTATGTTCTCTGATGCAATAACCTACATAATGAAATTTAGGCCTAGTGGTCAAAAATAAAAACAGTATTGTGTTCGGCTAATGGAAAATAGGCACAAAAAAGGAAAGAAACACAAGAACAAAACAATGGACAGAGATTGCTTTGATCTTAGATCGCTTTTCTATGTTGGCAGGTGTGATGATGGCCTCTTTTGTGGTAGCAAGTGCAAAGTTTGCATATCTGCAACCATTAGGTGCAAAGATTGTTCTTTTGTACCTAACAAATGCAAGGATTGCTATTTTCTTTCCAGCTCCACAACAAAGTTGCATGATGTTCTAGTTACAGTTAATTTTAAAATGCTATAATTTTGAAAGGAAGCCTTTTCAAACCTAAGTTTATATGGAATTTTTTTTTTATTATTACCTAATAACATACTAAAAATTTAAAAACTTGAAACTAAGTTATCTTTGCAGAATTATGTAAAATACATTTTACATAATTCTGCAGAGATGTAGACTACAATAAAAGTTCATCTCCATTACTGTTTTCTGATAATTGGATATGGCGAAAAGAAGGCTTAGTTTCTTCGAGTAGTTTAATTTTTAAAAATCCCATCAGCCATTTTAATTCAAATTAATAACTTACTGTTGAAGTTTGAAGAGACTTTTCAAAAATACCCTGTATATTTCAGATATACTTGTGATATTCACACATCATTAATTTAAATAATAGTTTCTGTAATGGAAGAATGATTATAATTTTATCGTGCTTATAGGGAATGCTCTGGAAAACATTGTAAAAGTTCATTATAATTAACGTTTGTGATAACTGAAATATGACAAAATTGATACTTGTCATTTATTTTATTCAGTCTCGCTTTGATTGAAAAGTCATTAATTTATTTTTGAAGATTTTTCTCAATTGAAAACGGGCATCAATTTCTCCTAATAACTATTTATACTATACGATTAAAATCAACATATTGATCCATTATTATATTATTTATGGAAATATTAAGTTTAATCTTTATATTTTTAGGTATAGCATGGATCCAACATGGTCTGAAACTGGGGATCGTTATTTGCTTAAACTTTTCAGGGATTACTTATTTCATCAAGTTACAGAAGACGGTCGACCCTGGTTAGACATGTCACACGTAGTACAATGTCTGAATAAGGTTAGTGAGAACATTTTTTTGTATTATAATTTCAAAAATTTATTTTAAAAACAGTTTGGCAAATTAAAATATATAGACATTTTCAATTTTATTCACATTATAGTTTTGTTATTAGTCATATTATTTGCATTAACTAGTTTCATTATTATCGTATATAAAGCAATCTCTATAATTCATTGACAAAATTGAAATGAGAAACTACTACAATTCATATTTACAAGTTTTTATTTTTGAGATGAAAACAAGTTACAATTCCTTTCTTTATATTTGATGATGATAACTTGTTTGAAAAATTATTTTACTTTGGGACATTTTGAACTAGGTTCTACCATAATATTACAGAAAAGATTATTGAAAGAATAAAGTTTGGAACTTTTTTATTTAGCTGTCTGATAAACTTATTCAATATACAGTATTTAGTAACTTGCTGAATACAGTGGTATCACAAAAACATTCAGATACCAAAGGCACTCATTAATTATAATTTTTCTATTGTCAAGAAATTTTAAATTACAAGTTTTTGAAAAAATTTGTCCAAATTATGTAAAGTCCAAGTTGGCAGGGTTTTACTATATATCAATGATATTTTTTATAATTATACATTTCTTCCCTCTTAAAACATATTTTAGAGTTGTAATTTGAAAAAAAATATAATAATTGCTTAATAAATTTTTAATTTATCCAATCAAAGCATTGATTTGTTTAATAAAAACATCAATTAGCAATTAAATTTAAAAAATTTCAATTAAATGAAAGGAGAAAGCAAATTAAATTATGATAATATATCCAGTAAAAAATATTAATTTATATAATTATCTGATGTTTAATTAAAAGATGTTTGAATTATTGAATTACAGTAATTTCTTGTTTCCTTGTAACTCATATCAATTTCATTTATTTCTCTTAATTGTTTTTGCTACATTATATTATATTACTTTTCACTAACATAATATAATTTGCACATGTATAAAGNAATATATTGATGCTAATTCTCTGCATAATAAAAAGTATAAGAATGGTTGTCCACAGTCTTAGAAAGGTTGAGAACCACTGATTTACAGAAAGATTTAATCTATCATACAGTTTGAGAAGCATTATCCTTCCCCTTCTTGAAAAATTTAATCTTCCGTCACACACAAAACATTATTAAGCACATTACAATCAAAAATGTCTGCAACCAGCATAGATTTATTGAATAATTTTACAGTAGGACAAATGCTTAGCAGTTAAGAAAAAATTTTCTTTAGATTTTCATAATTGTTTGACAAACGCAATGACTACCTATTAGTTATTTCAATACACTGCAAAAAGCAGGTGGTTTATAAATGTTTTTATGGAATTAAATACAAATCCAAATGTAATGGTCAACAACCTAACTACATTGATTGTCTAGCAAAAATCAATGTTTAGTCATCTTCTATGTTACTTCTTTGTTGCGGAAATGTCAACTGAAATCATAATTGTACAATTCCATGTAGTTTAATTTTAACTTTTTTGTATATGGAAATTGCAAAAGATTTGTTTTTGACTAATGCCAAAGATACAATGGTTATAGAAGTACTTGAACAAAAAAAACTGGAAAGCATTTTGCTTGTTAAACAATCCAACGTGAACTGTCTTCTCAAGAAACACTTAAAGACAAATGATCACTTCAGAAATTTTTGTACAGTTTGGAGGAGTAAGTTAACAAGTTTCAGATTGAAAATGATTTGGATGGAAATGTTAATGTCTGTGTCTTTCTCTGATATGGTTTTTTTCTTCAAATAAGAAGAAATTAACTATAGTCCAGGTTGATGCATTATTCAGTTTCAACATGGGAAAATTACAAGCTTTTAAGCATTTCGCTATTATTCCTCAGTAACAGGCAAATCTGAATTAAGTTCACTTGCTTCTCTGACAGATGAATTATTACAGAATATTACAGATGACATGCTGTAGTTCAAGCAGATTATTTATAATCTATCTAGCTCCCATATACAGTTTGCAGACTGCAGCATGACAAGTCACAACTTGGCTGGCATTTAGCATTGCTGAACAATCAACACACTGAATTTTAACATCAGTTCAACTTACCAGGCAGTCATCTAAATTAAATAAAACTTTTATTAACTGGAAGATGGGTTAAGGCAGAGTTTGTAGTAATGCATTAGTTTTTTAGTCTATGGTGCATAAATGTTAGTGAGTGTGAGGGGTGCTTGGCAGATTTGTGTCCTTGTCATTTGTCCCGTTGCCATTGCATGCTATGGAGAATGTTTGTTTTACCCCCTTTAAAAGTGGGTAAAAACTTTGACTAATATTTGGACCAATACAGCATTTAAAATCTGTTGTTGTAGGTCACAGAGTTTTGTTTATCTAATGTAATATCTATTTTTTTATCCAATAGTTTTGAATTTTTAAATTCGGAAAATTCATTAATAACGTAAATAATAATAATATTTGAAATTAACTCATTTAATAAAGGAACAATTATTTATTGTGACATTGTCACAATGCTGGGCTGAAATTTTTAATTAATTTAATTTAAAATATATGTTCTTCACCTCAAATTAGTAGTGGATTGCTTCTGTACATCATGCTTTTCCTTTAACAATAGTGTCATGCCAGTCATGTATTAACTGCTTTCAAATTGAAATAACATGTCTTTATGTTTGCATCGGAAGTTCATATGTAGTTAATCGGGGCCTCCTGCCTCTAACGTTTTCATATCTGTTCTCAGATTTCATCTAACTCCATTCTTGAGATTAAGGAAAGACAGATGGACAGATAACAGTGGGAATTTGTCTTCAATTTTTTCAAATTGTAGCCCAATAAGAAAACAGTTTAGATTCAAGTTGACTTTTTCCATAATCTTTATTGATCATAAATAATTAGATTATGCACTTTCTTTGCTTTTCAACTTTTGCAAATTTTACATTTATATATACTCACTAATATTACACTTACACTTAAAACAAACCTATTACCAGCATGTATCTTATAAAAATCGTCCCACAAACGTTTTCAAACTTTGTGAAGTTGTTCTTCAGATGGAAATGGAATATTTGTGAAAAAATCAAACAGATTTCAAATCAAAAAGTTTGCCGAATTCCGCTCTGACCAGGGCTGTGGAGTCGGAGTCGTGGAGTTTTGATGTTTTAGCCGGAGTCGGAGGGTAAGGAAAAGTTGTAGTCGTAGTTGGAGTCGGTAGATTTTTACGCGACTCCACAGCCCTGGTTCTGATGGACATGCGCCATTGTGCGCATGTGTCAATTACTACAGATACTCATCCAGGAGAAATTGCCAGGCTGGTGATAGGTTGAGCTCTTCTTTTTGATTGATGCATGTATTTTTATGGCTCATTTTATAAATAGCCATAGCTTCTAACCATTTTATTTGCTCAAGGTGGGGGTGGTTACGTTGATTTTAGCTTTGTCGAGCTCTGCCTCTATGTCCTGGTCTGTTGCATAAATAAATATAAAATAAATGCAAGCTATGAACACAGAATTGGATTATCTTAAAAAAGTCACAGCGGAGCATGGGTATCCTTTCTTAATACAAAGTATAATCAGGCAACACCATTAAAGGGGCACATCCACAGCACAGACAAAGGATACCAACAACCAGAAAGAACAAACAAGGCTCCCTGTCACCTTCAACCCATATCTTAAAGGAATATATGGAGAAATAGCCAAGAAACAACAAGTACAAATAATCTATAGAAGAGGCCCCACCATAGCAGACATCCTAAAAAATGGGAAAGACCCCCCCCAGATCTCTACAGAATGTATGGCATATATTCTATCCCTTTAGTGGATAACAGATGGCAAAAAGATGTTGTCTATATTGGTTTTACTAAGTGCTCGTTAAAGACCAGATTAAAAGAACACCAAGCTGATCTACAACACTGAAGGCTCACTATGGCCCTAAGTATTTATGCAACAGGCCAGGACATAGAGGCAGAGCTTGACAAAGCTAAAATCATTGTAACCACCCCCACCCTGAGCAAATAAAATGGTTAGAAGCTATGGCTATTTATAAAATGAGCCATAAAAATACATGCATCAATCAAAAAGAAGAGCTCAACCTATCACCAGCCTGGCACCTTCTCCTGGGCAAGTATCCATAGTAATTGACACACATGCACAATGGCACATGTCCGTCAGAGCAGAATTCAGTGAACTTTTTTATTTGAAATCTGTTCAATTTTTTCACAAATATTCCATTTCCATCTGAAGAAGAACTTCATAAAGTTCGAAAACATTTGTGGGACGATTTTTATAAGATACATGCCGGTAATAGGTTTGTTTTAAGTGTAAGTGTACTTCCGGTGTCGCTAAAGGGTTGAACAGTATTACTCACTAATGTTTACATTATACAAAATTATTGTCTGAAGAATATTGTAGATGAAAATATTTTCAATATCCACAGTTAAGAAGAATAGTAAATCAGTTTAATTCTTGATAATATTTTTTCTAAATATAGATAATCATTATATTTTAATCTTAAAACTTATTTCACCTTATATATAATTCTGTTAATTGTAAGTTCTAGATGTTTAGAATCATCACATCAAATTCGTGTATGTGGAGTATTCATAAATCAGGGTAACACTGTAGAATTTCTTTTATTAGCTTGTAGTATAAACGTTTGATTAACAGAATAATTATATTATTGTTAATTAAGCAAATGACATACATTGAATTTCAATACATTAAACATTTCTAATATACAAAAGTAAAAAAAAAATCTTAATTCTCAAAGACTTTAAATTAATGTAATGTTTTCATATTGTTAAAATTAAGAAATCAAACTATTAAATATGTTTTGAAGATCAATTTTATTAAAGTCTTTAAGGATTTAATGCTTAATATAGTTTATTGAGAGGTTTTAGATAATTAGAAATTTATATTTTTATGTATGATTATATTATTTATAAGTCGAAATGCACAGAAGAATTGTATAATATATTTCCTACTAAAATTGATGAAATCATTTTCATCAATTAAGTAATATAATCTTAC